TCCTTTCCTTTCCTTTCCTTTCCTTTCCTTTCCTTTCCTTTCCTTTCCTTTCCTTTCCTTTCCTTTCCTGCCCTTTAAGAGCCAAGGGAGGAGATCAAACTGGTCATAAGCAGGTTTATTCAGACACCAGTTCTTTCTCACATTTTTCCTTGCAGAATAGTTACTCTGGATCCTTTGGTTAAATACACATCTTTGAGCTGTTTTGTGGCTTCATGCATAGCTTTCACCATTGTGAAAGTATGATCACGAACCATTGAAACTACCATGGCACAAGCATTCACATCAATTCTCCCCACTTCCACTTGTCTCTTGGGTTCATGGGGATTATGTCGCTGAACACATATTGGTGTTTTATCTAGCATTTCTACTCCAAGTGCAACAGGCCCATCTATGGGGGGGGCTTGCTTTAGTCCCATTTTCAATATCATCCTCTTAAGTGTATCAAAATAAGATCGAGCAAGTCCACTTGGGGGTCTTTCTCCTGTGAAAACTAACTTAGTCTTGATTTTGTACCACCATTCTGCTGGGACAGGAAGGGCTTGGTGAACCCCTGGGGTTATAGGTAAACATATCCAACAATCCTTTGCTAATTCAGGGTTACCTTCCTGCAGCAGATTTTGGGACAAAACCACAGTATCATAAATGTAAGTCTCATTAGACTGTAAACGGGACACAAACTCCTCTGTATCCTTTCTGCGTATTACCTTATAAGTAGGTGCCGGTGGTGGTGGTGGTCTTCGAAGTCCATACCTTTGGATATAAGCATTAGTATTGTCAACCAAAAGAAACACTTCTATTATCAATAGACTTATGATCAGATTTTTCAGGCACACACTCTTTGATCTGTCCCTGGGCATCCAAAGCATTAAGACATCCCCCCTCCAGAAAATAGTAATCAGACCCATCTTCCCTTCCCCAAAAGGTGTGGGGAAACCAACAACAAGTGAAAAGTATTCCAAAACAAAGAATCAATACAATGAAAACAATATCAGTTTCACAACG